ATAGACCACACGGTGAGGTAGATTTCCACCTAACCTGGTTGCTTCAAAGCATATTTGAAATGATTTGGGCACGAAAATAACGACACATGTGACTATTGCAGAGACGATACCGTCGAAAATGTGGAACACACATTCTTCTATTGCTCAAAATATAATCTTGAGAGGCAACACTTAAAAAATGCGTTCGGTGTAGACCCAACTCCCGATAACTTGGTAAGCCAAATAGTCGAATCGGTAGAGAATTGGAAAACCATCTAACATCTAACGTATCAGTGAACAGCGGCAAGAGAGCTGTTAAATGTAACGGACAACCACGACTCACACAAGCAAACATTGATGTGACGGGAAGGGTAGACGACGAACAATGTACGAGGGGGGTTATCAGACCAACAGAGGTGGGGCCAAGTAAATGCAACTTGAAACTGAATGCATTTTGACCATCACGTACGCATGAGTGTCACTCATTAAAATTCCACACTGACATTAGGTTCAGGCTTTCGATCGTCCTCCTCGTAAAAACAAAAAATATTTGTATACTTATGTATATAGTATTCAGACATATAGGTACGCTTGTGCTCACATAATTAAGTCGCGGCTCTGATCGACAGATCAGGCGTGAGTCGTGACAAGATGTTATATTATTTTTGTTCAGCATTGTTTGGCATTTCATCAAGGAAACACTAACGCCTTAACATCGTTAACAAATCGTTCAATTTTATAACGAAAATTTACGTTCTGTAAAGAATGTGTTTCGCGCGCTTCTTTCAACTTATGGTCAACCTATTCGGTCTACTGAGCGTACTATTCACAATACCATTACCCAGCATTCATTAATATTAATCATTGGATAATATTCGGCCGAATAGACCACGTCCACCTAGTGAAAAAAATATATCAATCGTATTAGAGACTGTACACGAAGACCGTGGAGAGGCCGAGAGGCAACTCGGACTGATGTAGCGTAAAAAATACAACTTCTGTAAGAACTGAAACCGCTCAACCCTCCCAAGTGAAATCGCCTTTATAATTAGTCATAGATTTTATATTGGATTCAGGTCCGGGCTTTTGGCTGGTCAATTACCGGTTACCAAACACACACTTTCACAGTTTTTTTTAGTGTACTTGGGGTTAAGTTTTCAAGTTCTTACATATGGTTTTCCGTTATAGCCGAATACGTTAAATTTGTATTCGTCACTTCAAACTACCAAAGTCCAAAATTCAGAGCCCTTCCAGAGATGGTTTTTACCAAACGGTTTTCGCTTCAATATATTTTCTCGAAACGTTAGATTTTCGTCTTGCTCAACGGCCATTCAATGAATTTTCTTGCAGTCGTCTTCGTACAGTTTGCACTGATATTTGTACCCCATGATACTCCTATAATTCCGATTCCTATTTGCTCGGTATATCCAAGGTCTATATTCTATCGTTTGAGCGGGCCTTTTACGTGGCAAAATTTCTAAAGTCTTATATTTTCATAAAATCAAAAGCGTTATCAATTTTACCACGCGAAACCACTAAAAAAATGTCTTACTATTGTCATATAACATTTTTTCACATGAAGCAGAGCTTTTATTCTTGCAAATGGCGACGGTGACTATAAGTTTTGTTAAAAATAACTGTATTTAGTAAAAAGAACAAATCACCCTTTGCAAACAAAATGACTCGATGATGTGAACACACTTTTATTTGAAAGAAATGGAAAGTTGATAACAACTCTCCGAAATGAAAATACTTAAAAGCTTTTTCGTGTAATGTCAAGGATGTTACATAAAAATATTCGTTTTTTTTTTAATATTTTCAAATAGTACTGCCTGACTGAATTATATGAACACAAGTGCATATACCAAGTTGTAAAATATATATGGTATACCGATACAAATGCATCAATTGCTCTTGGTTTGGTGTACAGAAAGTGGAACATATGTACACCACACCATTACGTGTAGATTTATCCAAAACATTTCCGATAAGGAAATCGTCTTGTTGGCAAGACCACGATCCATGAGTTTATATTCACTCAACGGCAATTTTCGCTAACAATGAGAACACAGACATCATTACTTTAAGTGAAGCCGCGTGTGTTAGAAATGGAAAAAGAGCGCTCGACGCGGGAATCCAAATGGAGGTCGTATTTCATAGACTTCTACGAAAGCGTAAAGATTTCAGTGAAACTTTTGCTAATATTTTTGCTGTACTTTAATTTCTTTCAAACCGATTTTACGCGCTTACTTAACCCTAAGTCTAATGTAAACGAATATATCCGTATAGCAGAGGTTTCAAATATCACCCGAACTCGCATATTTTGCCTAATCTTCACCAATGAGTATGGAAATAACTATATTGCCGTTCACGGCCAAGCCACTTGGATTAAGAATTGTGATCGTTATTTATTCGTGAGCAATGATGCACATGCCGTACTGGAACCGTTGCTGGTTAAATATCGAGATCGTTGGGACACCATGAAGGTCAGCTTATTTCATGTGCATCAATATTATGCCAATGACATCGATTGGCTACTGATGGTATACGATAACAAGTAAGAGAAACACATAAATCGAAAAAGATCGTTTTTTACGTATCGCGAAAGAAATTACACTTTACATCATTTCTTTAAAATAGAAATCACGAAGTAATGAAAATTATTCTAAACTAGCTGACACCGCAGCCGTTGTCTTACGTGAAACTATGTGTTTCGAAATGTAAATAAAGTTAAATTTACCTTTTTTTTTCAATGTAACGCAGCTTGATAAACAACATTTTTTGTTTCTGTTCAGGTGTACGGAAAAGATGGTTTTCCAACTCGTCAGCACGCCACATACCAATCCTCTCAAAAGAATTTAGAAATGGTACTGCATAATTCACGGCGTCCCCTTCATTGTCAAGTCGATCGATCGATTTGTATGAGCGCAAGTCTCCCGGAATTTGACTTAGAATCTTCCAGTTTTAGTCAACAACATCGCTATTTTTGGCAGCTAAAATTGCTCGTGCACTCAAGGAATCGTAGTTACAATAATTTGGCCAATGTCCGAGCATTCGTGATGAGTTCATCTTTCGCGAATTGATAAACGGCGGTTGGTATTGATATCAAACCACCGGAAGAATAACCGGAATTGACCCATTTCTAATGTCTCCGATGTCTTCGGCAATGTCATTTTTGTTCGTATCCCATAATAGACGCTGGTTTGAAGGCTGTTATGGCGAAATTATTATCGCGAAAAGTACATTCCAGTGATTAACATGTTCCAGCAATTGCTGGCTTACATTAATCAATAACAACAGAAGGTAGAGACAATCGTAGTTTTTCGGGTGGATTGTGTAAATTCGTTCTAAGGCATTTGTTGATAACACACCCAGATGTCCATCTACTGGTTGGCCTTGCTTTCTGCGTAACTATTTCTTCGACGATTCATTCTATGTATAATATCCGTATCAAGGTATTTCCTAATAGAGCGATGTTCTTGCAAACGGATCACTGACGAAAGTTGAGCAAAAACTCATAAATGATAATTTTGTTGCTGGCGGTGTTTCCACTGGCTGTACTGTATTCTCTGGGTTGAAATACACTCTTTGGCCATTCTCCAAATTAACTGCGAGACGCACAACGGTCGGGAAGCGTTCATGAATTGCAAAAGTAAATATTCTACAAAGCGCTTWATTGCAGTTCATGTATCGACCGTATCGTTCAAGACCAATAACCGCCATATTGCTTCCTTTGGCGCCGTACTTACAAACGTATTTTATCGATTACACCAAACTGCAACACTCAACATTAATATGCGTTTCGAATGTGAATTAATATATAGTACGATCCATGTGTTGCCAACTTCGATATTCACTCTTCTAAAGTGAATGCTGAATGCTATGCCATTGCCGTCTGGTGAGCGATGCCGATACAATGGATACCCATCATTTCTAGTTTGTGTTTCGGAAACAAAAGCACATGTATAGTGTTTCGCGCATTTATTGTCAGACATACAAACCGAAGTGGGATTGTGGTGTCCGCAAGGTCCATGAACCACATTGATCACTTCGTATAATACTGGATATTTCTCTGCGTCAGAAATTTCCTCTCACTCAACAGAGTACACCTAGCATCTAACAACACCACATATACGTCCATCAAACATTGTAACTGTTGTTTGAAAAGTCGTGCTGTGACATTGTGAGATCGCTTGCTGATTCACCGCGATCCATCATCCCGCACGTATGTCATCGCATCCTGGGAGTACTCGGTCGTGTGCATTGGGCTGCCAATGTACTATATATTGACACCAAAAACGACGCCGAGCGATATTAGCGCGTCCTCTTCGTGACATCGTAACAAATTTCAATCTGTAATTGATCACTTTGTGTGAAACACACATAGCTAACAAACAAAGATTCACTCTTTTGTATGGCAAAAAGAAAAAGGCTGTTTTTAGCGGTTTTCCGGCATTTATTCGATTTTTTTTTTTTTAAAAACCATCTTTGAACTTCAACGAACATTTAGAAAAAAGAATTGGCCAAATCGGTTCAGGCGTTGTTGAGCTATGCGCTTAGCAAAACATTTTGCGATTAATTTTTATATATAGGAAAAATAGTTTTTAATTTTGGAAGATGTTTAAAACTAAAAGGAATATTTATCGTTGTCATATGCATATAGTCTTCGTGAAAAAAATGTACACCAAAAGTTCTACTCTACATTTTCAATCTACCATTTCGATAGCTTAGTGAAATCAGCGACAGCATAATTTTTACTTATGCGCGGACACGAACATTAATCTTAAATTAAAAAAAAAATAAAACCGTTAAAAAAGTGAAAGAGAAGCGCCAAACCGTTTTCGAAGTTGTCTCCGAATAAGCCCCTAAACGAAAAGAGCAAATGTGCGTAGTTTATGCGGGCAATTCTTTTAACTGTATTCAAGCGAGTTCATATAATCCAAGTGCAATTTATAGTTTTTAACAAAATTATTAATTTTACATACTTAGTTTCATAATAATATTAATGTTATCATTGGCAGCTATGTAGTTTTGGAAAATTTACGCAAAATGCTGAAACCTTACACCCCCAATGAACCCATTAACTTTGGCTGCAAGATGTGGGATAACGATAATCAGGTAAGTAACTTACATCTTTAAATTCAAAAGGCCTAACCTGTTTGAGTTTTTCATTATCTTTCTCGTAGACTTATATGCATGGCGGCATAGTGCTCAGCCACGAGGCCTTGCGGCGACTTGTCGTCAAGGGTTTCACTAACTCAAGCCTTTGTAATCCGAACGATAGCGCTTACGCCAATGAGGAAATGGGCAAATGTCTAAAAAACTTAGGCGTGGTTGATGGTGACAGTCGAGACGCTATGGGACGTCAGCGCTTTATACCTTTCCCTCCTGAACATTTTCTAACAGAGTTGTCGCCGGAAAAGGAGGAATGGTTTGTGACTCACTCCTTTTATGAAATCAATGTAAATAAGTTGGCTTGAAAACTGAAACCACATAATATTATCAAATAAATTATCTTTTTTTCAGGCTACTACGAACAAATTATCACCGGAAGCTATTTCGTTTTCGGATGTTTCTCCGGCCACAATGGTTACTCTGCATTATTATATTTACAAATTGAGAATATTTGGCAGAAAAGTAACAAATCACTTAGGAAACAACACACAGCTTTCTTAGTTTAAAATGTATATAAAGAAAACAGAAAAAAGGACTAAGTACATGTATAGCCCTACATTTTATACCCTTGCTACTTGCAAGAATCAAAGCCCGGAAAACTTCTTCAAGTGCTGGAAAAACTTTATATTAAAAATGTTGAGAAAGAATTCAAAATTGTTAAAGTAAATATATAGTAAATGTATAGTATATAATTCCGGCCTTTTTGCGAAAACGACGTATAACATTCAAATAGTATTCCTTATTGACAGTTTGGCCGATCGGAATGAGTTCTTAGTGCACCACACTTCGATAATCGAAAAAAACTATTTCTATTTTAATTAGCTTTTGCACTCACCATTTTGGGATCATGGCCGCCATCGAAAAGATATACTGTCAGTTTTATGTCGCCAAAGAGGACACGGATTATCAATGCATAATCTGGCGTTCATATTCAGCAGATCCAGTCCGTGCTTCAGCATTGCAATTTGCTGTAAAGGCACTTCATCGAACTTAAGCTCAGACTTTTATATGGATGACTTACTAACTTGAACGTCGCTTTACTTAAAAAAAAAACGTTTCCCGCGCACTCTGAAATTAGTGCTGAACTACGCAAATGGGGAACCAATTAGCATTGTGATTGTCTTTCTATATCACTGAATTTTGACGACCTGCCTCCTAAACTTAGAATAGAACGTTTCTCTCCCACTCAAGGGGCTATATACGTTAGAATTTTAAAAACATCGATTTTTTTATTTTATTTTCTTAATGTACATATGCATATTTAAGGATACACTAGAAAATTTCGTATCGTTCAGGTGAATATTTTGGAAGTACGCGAAAAATTTGAAAAGGGATTTCAGGGAGTATTCCAAACTTTTAACGCGTTTATCTTGAAATGGTGTTTTGGAAGTCGGTGACCAACATTATCCGAAGATGACTAAATCGATTAGTCTCAAATTTTAACACGAGCTTCCGAAATATATTTTTATTTAGTAGAGGGAAGATTTTTTTCCGACCGATAAATATTTTTTTATAAACGATTCAAGGGCGAAATTTTGGTAAAGGATAACTTTTTTTAGAAGCCGCCATTTTGTCAAAAAAATGCTTTTTAATTCGATTATTTACTAGATTTAACATTACTTAAATGAAATGTGTTTGGTTTTTTAATTTCGGTGGATCTACTTCAGAGATAAAATGGTCTCCGCAAAACGTCTTTTTTTTTTTTCACAAGAGCTCCTGTAGCTAAGTTCCTTTCCTAATAAATATTTTTACTAATACTAAGTCTTTAACTACAGATAAAAGACAGCATAATATGTGTACAATTTTTTGAATAAAAAAATTTTTAATATTTCTCAGAAAAAATTTTGGAAAATTCGTCTTTTTTCGACTTTCTAACTGTTTATCCACTCCGTTTGATTGGGCTTTTTAATCCACTCTAAGATTTGGCTACAAAAATTTTGACGATCAAATGTGGATTCGCACGGGGCAACTCCCATTTTTTTCTAAATGTTTAGCCCAATGATGCCCCTTGCTACTGTCTTAGTGGCAGTGGCTCTATGCCAAGGAAGACGTGTCATACAATATCTCATTTTTTAAAGCTTGCCCAGACAGAGAGACAGATGGACAGAGAGATGTGCGGATTTCAACTTGTCTCGTCGCCCTGATCATTTCTATATATTTAACTCTATATTATGAACATGCTTTAGGCGAACAAAACTATTATAGCGATATGTTGCACGAGTAAAAAAATAAATAGTTTACTTTATGTTGAAATACCGATATATAACGGTAACATATTTTTACGTAATTATTTTATTTTATTAAATAAAAAACGTCAACCATTTTATAAAGAGATGCAGATGCTACTCGAGATTTATTTCTGACAAAATCAAATTACGATTTTTTTAGTAGATATATTATATAGTACATATGTATTTGACAACAGGTTTACAGAAAGGCATTAGCTAATGGATTGGGAAGTTCCCGGAGTTTAAGTTCATTTTTTTATGCTGTTATCTATGTATTTTTTAGCAAGGGAATGGCATACAATCTTTCTGAATATGTCACGAATTTATCATGGGGAGTCCGTTATCGGTCTAAGGGTTTCTGCATAGAACGTCTGTGTTACATAAATATTAGTTGTACAGGTTTCATACTATGTATCCATATCAGCTTAATGACCGCGTTGTAGTCAAAGCTTAGTTTAAATTGTATTAAAAAGCCATTATAATTTTCTGCTCTCATTATCATACTAATTATTTTGCTTGATATACCTGTGTCCTTTGTTACGTTATTTGTTTATAGTACCGAAATGTTATTTGATTTAGATCTTAGTGAAAATTGAACATGCTTAAATTTTTTGTCCAATATGATGCCAGCTAATTTCACCGTAAATTGCCTATTTTTTAAATTAAAAATTTTTTTTTAAATAAGAGTCCAATTTTTATGCAATTCGGAATGGTATAATGTTTCAATTTTATATAAAGGTCTTCATGCCACACTTCATCGACTGCCTGAACCACATTAAGGAATATTACTGAACAACACCCTCAGTACTCTAATGTCTTTCTTCGGGTTCCCGAGCGAACAATGGATAACAAACTCGCATATATATATACATAACACAACTCGCATATATATATACATATATATATATATGTACATATATTATTTCAACCTTTTTCCTCATATTAAAGTAAATAAAATCGGCGTAATATTTACGCTGGCAGCCACATACCAAAATTACAATTTTCTAACATCCGGTAACATCTTTAGTTAAAGAATTTTAAAAAAATCCACTTCAACATTTACGATCAATTCCCTTTATTTGATAACTGCAGTAACAAGCGAACCAAGCGGAATATTAAACATTTCGAAGCTTGTAAAGATGATCCAGCTCAATGTACGCTGCTAGCACATGCCAGCTCCAATCCTCAGCTTTCATTGTGATTTGATGTATCCGACTACGCAATCGAAACGACGCGGTGGCTAATAAAACACTCCAACCGCTTTGTGTCTTGGCATACTACTCAAAAGCCATTTGTACACTCAGATTTAAAGGCGTCATCTTCATCCGAAAGTTTTCAGTACATCCGTTATTAGTTGCGCTTTATTAAAGTCCTTCCAAGGCCACAGGATTTCGGGAATAACATAGGTATGGTCGGATGTCGCGTTTAAAAAGTTGAAAATTACCATTATTTGAGGTACGTTTTTTCCAGATATAAAATTAATTTTGCAGTTATATTTGGAATTTTTATATTTACTAACACTTCACTAATTCGTTTGTACACATTTATTTTATATAATATAGTGCATAAATAGCTTTTATTATACATTTATCTTATTGTTGAATTCTGATTATTTAAGAATAACAAATGAGTTACAAACTGTCAAATAGTGACAAGCAGTGCATTCAGTGCTACCAAATTAAAATAAGGAGTTCTACGCGAAAAAAATTTGATGCACCCCGGTGTTAGGTTATTGTTAGGTAAATAAATTTTAACAATAAGTTAAATATTGAATTAAAAATTTCTTTGTACTTGTACTATACAATGTAAAATAAATGTGCAAGATTAATTTTATATCGAGAAAATACGTACTTCGAATAGGGGTAATTTTCAACCGAAAAGCTCGAAAAACTATAAGCTTCCTGCGGCTATATATATATTCTTGATCTGGAGAATCTCCTCTATCCGACCATTGCCATTTTATTCCCGAAATCCTGGGACGGTATACTCAAGTCTTCCTTCAATAAGAATTACTATATAAGTCTCTTGTGTAAGCAGTCCAAAAACAACTTTTTGTCAAAAGTGTTTAAATTCATAATGTCAAAAATGATCAGTAACAGTTATGTGTTTGCTTACTACTGTATATCGATATTTATTCATTGAGGAGTTTACTATTTCATTGCATCATTCGCTTGTAATCCCTCAAAAAAGTTATCAAGCAACGACTGATTCACAAAACCAAAGTTCCATTTCATATTTACATTACTGGAATCACAGATATTCATGTATAACCGTCGAGTTTTAACATTCGCCTCCAAACATCTGCGCTCCGTCCAGGGCTCGCCTTGCATCAGTAGCTGTGATTGGTGGTCATAATACCAAAACTGATTACCCCCTTCGTAATGACATGGCCACAGAGAAATGAAAGCATTCGGTTCATTAGATTGTACTTGCAGACAATTATCGTTTGCCTGTTGCAGATCACGATGAAAAGTGAGTTGCCAGTTTTGTGAGTCAATTGGGTGTTTGAGATTCGATGAGCAGGGTCGTAGAACACCTATCGGATTCTCCACTGGAAGCTGCATTAGATCTAAGCAGAGTTGGGGCGCGGCAACGCTTTGTATGGCACCAGATGCATAATCAGGTATTGCGAATGGTGGATACTTCCTAACAAAATCTGGAGCTATGGTGTATAGAAACCACTTAAAGGACTTGCATTGAAGTCGTTGACGTAAAGCGCGTCTTTTGCTTACATCATCCACATCAATTTGGACGAGCTCGGGATTGTGCTTATAAAGTACCTCTTGATATTCATCCAACCAAACTAATGCGACGCGCTTGAAATTCTGCGATAGTAAAATATTTAGCGTTAATTTTATGAAAAACAAAAAGTATGTGTTGTATACCTTCCCCTGATAATCGTCCGTACCATTAGTGTATTTGACGTCAAACTTTCCGTCGCGATAGAGATGGCCGAATCGCGAACAGGGAACTTCCAATAAACGACCGCCGCACATCCAAATCTTAAAACTTAGTTCGAATTGCTCTCCCCCCCATACTTCCAAAGCCTCGTCGTAAGCACCTAAATGCCAGAAGAACTTCGCACCTATGGCAAAGAGTCCACCATTCATAACTGGAGTATTGTGTGGGGCTGGAAGTGCCGCCTGCTCTTCAGGTAGCAGTGGTAATTCTACGTAAACGAAATTCCAATCGAATCCCCCCCGTGCAGGTGTGCCTTCTATATACTCGAAAGTGTCGTAATCAATTATGTCTATATTCGGCGTAGTAGTGGCTTGTGGATTGTCCACAATCGGTTGCAATAAGGGCGGCAACCAATTGTGTGTGGCCTCTACATGCGCGTCAAGGAATACCAATGCTTCTCCGGTCGCCAAACGCGCACCGGCAACACGCGCTCTTATTAATCCCTGATGTACCGTTAGTTTCAGTATTTTCAGTTTCGTACCAAATTTTGTCAACAATTTCTGCTCTAGCGAGTTCTCGAAGGGTGGAGATGTGCTGAAATCGTCCACTAAAATGAGCTCGTGCAACAGCTCATGCGGTGTCCGGTTCCAAAGGCTGTGCAGCGTGCGCTGCAGCACCGATGGGTGTTCGTTGCGATGCACTATAATTATACTCGTTTTGGGTAGCACTTTGTGGTAGGTCATGCTGAGGCAACTGTTACATAAAAAAAATTACAAGCTTACTTAACTAAACGTACTATGACTAATATGCTTACCGCGAGTGACGGAAATCGGGCACCGCTCGCTCAACTGAAATTTGTTCAGATAACAAAGCATTGAAGCCGTAAACTTGCCAACTTGCAGCGACTGTTTCGTTGTCATAGCCTCTTGGTAAGGCTGCCGGCCGACCTTGCTCACCTATACCCTCCCGCTCGGCATCGCGTGCTATAGCGACATAGTCGTGCCAATCTCGCCACTCCGCTCGCCCTCCACTATCCGCCTTCGACTGCGTTTCTTGAGCTCCATTTCGATGGGTATAAAGCTGATAAATACTTATCAAAATAACGCAGATCAATAACACTTGAAGAAGGGTGTGTTTTCTACGGATTTTTGTGCGAAGACCTGATAATTTAAAGAACATTATACAGACAATGCTTTCAAGCAACTGCTGGTAATTATCTTAAAATACTTACTTTTAGCCTCAAATGTTGTTTCAGCTTGAGTTGTTTACATAGCAGCGCTGCTTAAATATTCTAAGCATTTCAGGAAGGGCGATTTTAAATAAATACTTGGGTAACTAATTATACGCTTTAAATATTGGATGATCGAAGCGTGGTGAATAAGCGAAAAGCTTTCAGTGTTCTTATACATTTGAAGCCCTTTGTAAAGCTGGCGTGCTTTTAGGCACTTTTATGCTAGAAACTATTAATTTGTAAATCAACTATGAGATAAATAAAAAGATATATGTATGTGGGGTATTCCATACCAAATTGACCATTTTTGACCCCTTTAGATTTTTCTGAAACTTATCCATCCTTTTCTACATTTTTGAGAATTTTTTCAAAATTTTTTGTCCAACTTCAAAAAAGTTATGAATTTTTCAAAAATGGCTTTTTTATTTTCAAATAGCCATAACTTTTGTAGAAATTGACTTTTGGAGATCCTCTTTTTCATTTTGTTTTTGAATGAAGTTTTCAAAAAAATACACGAAAAGAATGTAACACGATAAATTATATAAAATAATTGTTTTTTAAGTAAAACCGTCATTTTTTGGAAGTTCGACATCTTCTTTTTTTCCTTAAAAAGAAAACTTTAATTAATTTGACTATTTATTTTTTTTATTTATTTAAAAAAAATTGCCAAATTTTCAAGAACAAAAAAACTTTTTTAGAATTTTCACTTCTCTAGACTTAGCAAGTCGAGTAGCAAGCGATCAGTGTGGTCTTTAGACGTTGATAGGGCTTGTCGACTGGTGCATTTAAAATGATGTCCTCAGCGTCGGCAGCTATGCGCGTGTCTGGGGATTGCAAGACCCTCAGACAGCTCCTGGTCATCACCTCTACATTTGGCGCCCAAAAAGAATGGGAATGGCGCCCATGCGGCGATTACCGTCGTATCAACGAACGTACCATACCAGATCGATACCCAGTTCGATGCTTAGAAGATTTCACCGCAAATTTACATGGTGCATCTTTCTATTCAACCATCGACCAATTCGTGCCTTCAATGAAATTCCTGCAGCTGAAGAAGACGTCCACAAAACGGCTATAATCACACCGTTTGGTCTTATGACCTTCGGACTCTGAAATGCAGCACAGACCTTTGAACGCTTCATCGATGAGGTAACTCGAGATCTACCTTTCGTTTTCGCATACATCGATGATCTACTGGTCGCATCTGCCAACGCAGCAGAACACAAACAACATTTGCGTATCGTTTTTCAACGCCTTCAGCAACATACAACGCCTTCTAGGGCATACAATTTCCGCCCATGGAATAAAACCACTTGCGGAACGAGTCAAAGTCATCATCGGCTATCCTCGACCTTCAACAATCACCAAGCTGCGCAACTTTATTGGTACAATAAAATTTTACGGCAAATTTATTAAGAACGCAGCAAACTTACTCGCGCCACTCAACACCCTACTCGAAGGCCCTAAAATCAATGGTAAAACATTAGAGATACGTAAAATCAACAGCAATACCACGGACATTTTTATATACTGCGACATATCTACAGGTACAGCACGTCCGTTCGTTGCACAACAACTAAGACGGCGAATCTTCGAGACTCTTCATTCAGTCTCACACCCTGGTCGCCGAGCTACAAGACGCTTATCACGAAAAGATATTTTGGCCATCAATCAAGGATTGCATCACATGGACCAAAGCATGCATTCAATGCCAACGCAATAAAATTTCACGTCATACAATTTCACCCACCGCAACATTCCAGGCACCTGCGCGTCGATTTGAACATATTCACATAGACTTGGTACACCCCCGCTTTCAAAAGAACACACCAAATGTCTCACAATAATCGACCGATTCACACGCTATCCAGCAGCCGCACCACTTATTGACGGCACAGTTGACTGAGTAGCACATGCACTCATGCAAACTTGGATTTCCTACTTTGGAGTCCCACTTCGAATAACAACCGACCTTGGAGGACAATTCCAGTCAGACCTTTTCAGGAAGCAAGGATGGCCTCCTCGGTTTCAAACATCAACGAACAACGAGTTATCACCCACAATCAAACGGATTTATCGAACGCTTTCATCGACAAATCAAATCATCTCTTCTTTGCCACAACGATAGTTGGTACGATGCACTCCCTGCAGTTCTCTTAGGACTGCGAGCTGCATTCAAGGAAAATGTAAAAGCCACACCAGCAGAAATTGTTTTTGGGGCTGATTGGATTTTACTGCACACTATGTGTAGTTTTTTATCCAACAAAAGATTGGACATAAGTATATAAATTATGTTAAAAGAAAACTAAATATGCAAAATCAGAAAAAAATATGAAAATTTCATATATGGTAAAATGCCAAATGATAAATTTATTACAGCACTTTTTTGCTTTTAGTGGGAAGTAATTACGGGTGGTCCACTTAAATGTACCTTGTTCAATAGCCCTTTTTGTCAGATCACGCATAAGTCATGTCAAGATGTTTAGATATTTTTGTTCAGTATTGTTTGACATTTCATAATGGAAGGACTTGATTACAAGTCGTTCAAAATTCGTCGTACGAAAATTCACTTTCTATATTTTTGTTCTCAGTTCAACTTTGCGAAAGCTAATTTTAAGAAGATTAAATACGAAATTTCTGAAGTAACTTGGCCAGATTACTGTGGCAATATTGAATTTAGTGCTTTCCAATTTAATGAAATTGTTTTAAATTTATCTGAAAAATATAGCATGTTCCGAAATGTGTTGTTGTTCAAACAATGAGTTCTAATTTATGGTTACCGAGAGAGTTATGTAAATTAAAAAATAGAAAATCTCGTGCTTTTAAGCTTTTTAAAAAAGCTGCTTTAGTTGCTGACTATTCAAAACATTCTAAATTGCGTCGACAATTTGCTGAACTTAACAAAATATATTATAATAATTATATAAACAAATTAAAAAAATATATTAAACGTAATCCAAAATTGTTCTATGATTTCGTCAACTCCAAACGCAGGATTTCTAATCTTCCGTCGGCGATGAAGTATAAGTCTAGTATGTCTAATGACAATCACACCATTCCCAATATGTTCGCTGAATTCTTCAAGTATAAATTCCTCTCCAAAATCTTCAAAAAATGTTCCGCATCAGCACAAGTTACGTCCGATTTCTGTCATTAATGCACCCACCATTTCCGATGCTGACGTTTTATATCAATTAAATATGTTATCACAATCATTCAATATGATTCATTAATGCACCTACCATTTCCGATGCTGACGTTTTATATCAATTAAATATGTTATCACAATCATTCAATATGATTCCCTCATGCTTTCTTAAAAAATGTGCCAAATATATATTCCAACCCTTAACAATACTATTTAACTCATCTCTTAAGCAAGGCATATTTCCATCTATATGGAAAAAATCCTTTTAAATTCCGTTACATATGAATGGATTTAGGTCATCCATTGAAAATTATAGGGAAATAGCAAAGTTATCAGCCATACCTAAACTTTTTGATGCAATTATAACAGAAGACATAACATTCCGGACTTGTCCACTCCTTTCTTGTTCTCAGCACGGTTTTGTATCACATGTATCAACGGGCTTTAGGGAGAATAATTCTGATGTTATATATACAAATTTTACTAAAGCTTTTGATAAAGTAAACCATTCAATTCTTTTGAATGAACTTGATCTTCTTGGTTTTGAACCAATATTTTTAAAATGGGTTGCTTCTTATCTTAGTCATAGAATTCAACAAGTCATATTTAACGATACCCTTTCCGACATAATCAATGTTCCTTCAGGCGTTCCTCAAGGTAGCCGTCTTGGCCCATACCGGTTCTTGTTATTTATTAATGACATATCATCTGCTGTTAAGTTTTCAAAAGTTTTATTACATGCTGACGATGTTAAACTCTTTAAAACGTATGTTTCAAACAGCGAAAAATCTCAGTTGCAAACAGACTTAAATAGCCTAGTTTCTTGGTGTGTTAGAAATGACATGCCATTGAACCTTAAAAAATGCAAAACGATGTGCTTTTCACGTAGAGCTGTAGACCCTACTTCATACGCAATACAAAACTTTAGGTTGGAGCAAGTATGCAGTTTTGTTGATCTAGGAGTAACTATGGACCCCAAACTCAATTTTCATCTTCACGCATCTTCCACGGGTTTTAAAGCTAAAGGTGCTCTTGGTTTTGTTAAACGTTGGTCTAAAGAATTTAGAGATCCGCTTACCAAAAAAATTCTTTTTACATCTCTGGTGAGGCCTATATTAGAGTATGCTTCCGTGGTTTGGAATCCTTGTTATCTAGATCATTCTGAGAAAATAGAGTTCAAAAACAATTTTTACTTTTTGCCTTAAATCATTTGCATTGGGATTCCAGTTTAAATCTTCCCCCTTACACTAACCGTTTAAAGCTTATAAATCTCCCTACACTCGCTAGTCGTAGGGAAATGCTTGGTATAATATTTCTTGTAAAACTCATGAATGGGTCAGTCTGTAGCCCATCTCTCTTATTTGATATTAATTTTAACATTCCTGCTCGCTCTACCAGGCAGTTTAGACCTTTACTTTTAAAATTTTCTAAAACAAATTTCGAGTTAAACGAACCATTCCGCCGGATATGTCACGATTTCAATTCCATTCCATTACTTCTAACAGACTCACTCTTTACCACTAAAAAAATTGTTTTATCTACTCTTAACAAGTAACATTTAAAAATAATAAACCTACTTTAATCTAATAATTGGTTTCAACAAAATGACGGCCTTCTCCCAAACAAGGCAACAATCAATGGATTTATTGAGAGAACACTTCGGTGAGCAGATAATTTCACGTTTTTGGCGGGTTGATTGGTCATAAAGATAGTGTGATAACATACCGTTAGACTTTTTCTTTCGAGGAT